GCCATTCATTTGATTAAAAAATTTTACTGCCATTTTTTCTACCCATTATAGGCCTAACTCTCTTGGGCTCTTATTAGTATAGTAGATATTAGATTATGAAAATTTTATATACAAGATATTTATGAGACAACGTTTTATGTCGTTTAATATAATAGTGTCTTTCATACCTTAAAAATTATTAGAGTGAATTTCATTTTTGGTCCTATTGTTATAGGTGATTTTTCAATTTTAGTCCACCATAATTATTTTTGCCACATTGCGTCCACTATTATTAAAAGTATTCCAATGTTAGTTCATTTTAAGATTTTTCGTGGACTAAAATTGAAACACTTTTAATAATAGTGGACGCAATGTGACAAAATAATTATGGTGAACTAAAATTGGAATGACCCCTATAACAGTAGGACCAAAAATGAAATTCACTCATAGATAAAATGTTGAGAGGTAGGTGGCAACTGGTAGGGTTCTCACCTCACCAACTTAATTGCCCTTCACTAAATATGACAATTAATATGAATGCATGTGTTTCGTATGTTTATAAAAGACACATGATTTTTTTGTGACTCAATAACAATGAATGATTCGGTCCCCACACACAATATAACAAATTATGTCATTTTTAGTATTTATATACTATTGACAATGTATAACTTTTAAATTTTTAGGAGAAGGCATAGCCTATTAGGAATGAGTTCAAATCGAAAAGATCAATCAGTAATCCCTCACAATGAGTCGAACTTAGGATCTCACATTACCAAATCACTTGTTTGATCAATGGGATTGGGGTTGTCCCTAATTTTGTGGTGTAATATAATTAACCAGAGTATAAGCATCATTGTTAATAAATCATAAGTTTTTGTTATTCTGTTATTAGAAAATGCAATACAATGAGACCAAATGGGATGAGTTGTGCGGGACCATGGGGCCGGTTTTTGGCCGCCAAGGGGCTGCGCGTTCAAGGCAAGTATGCAGTCGAAGTGGCCGAGGCAGTCTGTGTTCGAGAAGCGTTGAGTTGGCTGAAAGGGACAAGGATGGGAGATGTTGATGTGGAGACGGACTCGTAACTAGTTTATTTTGCTTTACGTTCAGACCCGTTTAATTCTACTTTTGGTTTTATTGTAGACGATATTAAAGAAGTGGCATCCACTATTGATGGTGTCGACTTCTACTTTGTTAAGCGATCTGCGAATCGTGCTGCCCATCTGATTGCTCGGGAAGCCGTTTCTGTGTCAGGTTGCGGGGAGTGGTTTGACGCCCCTCCTCATTATCTTGCGGACTGTATTCTTTCTGAATTAATACATTAAGTTCTTATTTCCAAAAAAAAAAATGCAATAAGATGTGTACAAAAAAATCATGAAGGTTTTATTAAAAATAGAAAAGATATAGAGTATGTTTTTATGACACAATATCTTATATTTTTTTGGATGATAAGTGAAACTTGCAGCTATTATCTAAGAGTGTAGGGTAAATCATGTTCTTGTGTAATAGCTCGTAAACTATACATGAGAAGTAAATCGTACTAAGAAGACCTTGATCTTCATGCACAAGAGTAATTCTCCACTTGTTATATTAAATAGAGTAAACTAACCGTAATTGACTCGAATTGTTAAATTTATGGTAAATATGTAATCGGATGACATAGAATTAATATTTGATAAGAATCCAGTTGAACTGCTCATGCGGGCATAAAGATCCTATGTTGACAGGAGGATTTGGGACCAAAAATAAAAAAGAATTGTGGCTGATGGATTTAATTAACCCGGGATAGACCCGAATCACTAAACCCGATAAATAAGGGATAGGGAAGATGTGTGTCGCGGGGACAACTTTGTATTGATAATAGTTGTAGAAGGGTTACAAGGTGAAATGTTGTAATAATAATAAGTAGATGTCCTTAGGCAAGACACTAACTAATCCTTTTATACTAGCCAAGACTCCCAACCGCCCCCCTATTCTCGCGGGGCAGTTGGATCACGCGTTGACCGGATCAATGCGAGTGCCCGGGGCCATCTTGTGCCTCCAGGCCCACGTAGGCCTCGACCGAGGTTGTAGGCCGAGGACTTGGTCGGCCTCGCCGTAGGCCGAGGCCTTGGTCGGCCTCATAAGGGGCCTCCGTAGGCCTTCGCGCCGGCCTTCCCGGGTCGGTTCGCCCCGAGCCCATACTTAATATATCCATCATCAGTCCCCCACTCTCCGAGTTGCGAGTCATCGTCAACGAATGAGAGTAGCTTGAGTCGAGGGTCGAGCCCAAGCCCGCCAAGTATTGTCCATGCCGCGCCCCCGGGCACCTGCGTTGTGCTCGGGACTTCCTCCTCCCCGGGACACCCATGAGTCTTGGATTCCCCCTTTCTACCAATGCCTAGGGAAACCCACATGTCACACCCATCAACCCCCATCAACTTTCCCATTTCCCAAAGTTTGACCTTTTCTCTTCTTATCTTCTTATCCCATTTTCAAAATTCAAACCTTCTCAACTACCCAAAATCTACTCCCATCTTCTCTCCCCTTTCCTTACTTAAACCTTCTTCCCCTCCATCTCTCACACTCCTCACTCACCACTCCCACACACCCTCTCCCCGTCGGCCCTCCTCACTCCGCCTCCTCGCCACGCCGCCGTCCTCGTGCCACGCCACCCCCTCCTCGCGGCCCTCCGACTTCCCCAATTTCCCAACTTCTCCAAACACCCTCTCCACTCTCTCTCTCTCTATACTTAACTAATTTTTTTAACTAATATTTAAAATATTTTTAGATATATTCATTTGAATGACGCGCGCACACACACACACATATAAAATTTTTACTTTGACGTCTAATATATGTGAAATTTTAATATCCGATATCCGGAGCAAACTTGTATTATGATATAACATAATTTAAAATATACGGACCAAACTTGGAGTAGAGTTCAAGTTTTAATTTTGATAATGTGAATAATGTCTAACTTTAAACATAAACAAATAAGTGATATTTAGAAAAAAAAAAAAATAATAAATGCGAGTAGACAAAATAGAAGATCGTGATAAGTAAAAGAATATGATAATGATTGTAATCATAATAATGAATAAATATGTATGTAGATAATAGTGAGAATGTGGTTATAGTGATATATATAACCAAATAGATCAATGATGATTATGTTTTTCATTTAGAAAACAGTTTTTTAAAAGTTCTCCACTTTCAAAATGAAAAATTATACTAATAGACATATTTTCTGTTTTCTATTCTCCAATACTCTAGTTTTTCTAGAAAATTAAAAAAAAAAAATAGTTAATAAACGGTCCTTTAGTGATGCACAGTTTTTACATTTTTTTTTTGTATTATATAACTATATGGTTAGTAATTGAATTTTGTTCAATTTATTAAGGGCATGCCTATCAATTTAGTCTTTTCAATAGTAATTGTTTTGAAGTAATTGAGCTTAAATTTCAGTTAGAAAATTTAGACTAAAACTGAAGCTCTATGTGCACAAAATAAAGTTTTCCAACAATACATTTCATACTATACCTTTGCCTAATTAGTTAGGATGTTGATTTGGTAACCGCAAAATTTTAAGTTTCATTTCTACTTAGTGTAACTTATTGGCCTTCTTGATATGAACTGATCGACTAGTTAAGTTTACCTCTTTGTAGTCATTTTGTTGGCTAGCTAGTCACAAAATATAGTTTATCCAGTACAGTGTACATTCTCAAGTAATGATTGTGTGTTTCCCTCGTCACTTAAACAAAAAAAAAAAAAAAAAAAAGAAGTTAAAATGTATTTATAATATTTTAACCTCAAATTTATTTTCAACGTAGTACAATGACTCCTGCAAAGCCTTCTAAAATTCAATTTTTTCAACTTTACGAATCAATTGCTTATTCACTCTGTTTTGAGTTTTTAATATATGAAATTTATCTCCACCCAAAGGAAAATTCGAGTCCACTTTGATTTGAACTAAAAAGAATCGCACTTGTATGAGACCGTTTCACGGATCTTTATTTGTGAGACGGGTCAGTCGGGTTGAAGCAACATGCAAATGTCATACTTATATACTCAAATATAAAAGTACTACATTTTTATAATAAGTAATGTTGGCAAGTGCCCCTTACTTATAAGGAAAAATATAATACTTTTGAGTCAAAATGTAATACTTTTAAATCGAAATATAAAAGTATTACATTATCCCTTATAAGTAATAAAAAAATTTATTCTTGATTAATCTTATATTTAAGCATATAAGTATGACATTTGTGCGTATAAGTATATTACATTTTCATCTTGACCCAACACGTCTCACGATGAGACGATCTCCCACAAGCTTTTGCCAACTTAAAAAATAAAAGAAGGATTTTAAGATTTACACCGCACAAGCAAGGATTTGTTGCATGCTTATTCTTACATGCGCGTACAATGTTGTCAAAATCGACTTCGAGCTGATCAACTGCTGCCCAACCAGTGAACAATGAGCTGATCAACTGCTGTCAAATACTGCCTATTGAACCAGTGAACATGGTCGGATTTTAAGCTTTGCAAGCTGGGTTATCGCACAGGGCTCCACCAAATTTTAGAGGGCCTCCAAATTTTAGAGGGTCTAATATTTAATTTTTACCTAGCTAGTTTAGAAATAAAAATTAAAAGTTTTCAGTTAAACTTAAAAGGCTTTAATGAATGGTAGGAATATGTGTTTATTGTATTTTAAATTGGAGGTCAGATGTTCGAAACTTGAGTATTGCTCCAACTTTGAACATCTTGCAAATTGTTCATAATATAATTTTTTTTTCTTTGTGCACATCAACATTTTACCACCAAAAATAAAAAAAAAAAACCGGCCCTGCCAGTGAACCTGTTATTTGTTCAACCATAGATAATACTTTATGCTTATTTATTTAAAATTAAAGATGATCGGGATTACACAAACAGTACACAACAATCTAGGATCTGTTGTAAGTTGTGAAACCTGCAACTAACGTCACTTATTTAGAATAAGTAACCTCCCCCACACCCCGGCTTATGGTGTTAAATCACAATCTAGCTTTCTTGAACACAACAGAGAAAAAAGAATTTGCAGTAAGAGCCAAACGCAGATCCCGGTGCAACATGTAGTCGATTAAGCCAACGTTGTTGCAATTGTGGCCGCCAAACGGACAATTAGTGATTCTGTAAGCGTTATGCTCCGGCACGACTTCAATCTTGAACTGGCTGCTAAGGTTGGGGACAAACTCGGTGGTGTTCAAGAGGTAATTGCCGGTTGGCTGGTCGTACCGGATCCCCCAATAGACATTACCCAAACAAACCCGGGTCATATCGGTGATGAATTCGAAGCTCTGGAAACTCGACGTCAAGACGACGGGGGCGTTGGGGTCCGCCGGCCTGATCCTAATGGGTTGGCCGTCCAATAAAGGACGCGATAAGAGCAATCTGGTCACGCATTCTGTTGTAGAATCTGACCAGGCAACTCGCACTCCTACGGTGAGGGCTCCCGGGCTGCCGGTGGAGGTTATGTAGTAAGTTTCGCCGGCCTGGAGCTGGTTTCCGTCGGTGTCCAGCACCGGAGTGCCAGACGCTACTGCTACGTCGGCGGTGGGAAGGCGGATTGGATTGAAGGAAGAGTGAGTTGGGTTGGGAAGGAGATAGAGGGAAAGTGTGAATAAGAGTGCGAGGGTTTTCATGTTGATGACAACTTGGCAGAAGAGAGGTGAATAGGTAGTTATGATGTTTGTAGGTAATGTTGTTTCAAGTCTCATGCAATTTATAGACGACAAATGTTTGCACTTCATTTATCTCGTGGTACAAATAAATGGTTAGTATTACACATACACCCCCCATTTCGGATAAGGTTTTTAAAATATTTTGCTCAAATGACACTAACACTGTTAACAAAAGGCACTAATAGTATAGAAAAATACACAACAATGAAATGTAAAAATGTAAAACACACCCAAAAAATACACCATATAACTCCCCACCCCTAATAGTGCATTTCCTAACACGGTGTGGTGCTTTTATTCATACATAATAGTGTATTTTTTGTGATGCGTACCTAATTTGTGTTTTTTTTGTTGTGTATTTCCTAACGTTAATGGTGTATATTTGCATAACTATTGGTGTGGCCGCACTGACCGCACGGGAAGGCGCGGTCGCACCTGAACTCAACTCTCTCTCTCTCTCTCTCTCTCTCTCTCTATATATATATATATATATATATATATATATATATATATATATATATATATATATATATATATTGTTATAATAATAATAATATTATTATTATTATTATTAGTAATGGTTAAACCAAGTATTAAATTAGTTTGTTATGAATAATGCATGGATGCAGTAGGTGGGTTATACATGGTATCACTACATAGATTGTGGTCTTAATTGTAGCTTTACATGGAGCATTACTCCTAATCTTTAGCTTTATTAGTGGTTATCTTTTAGTATAAATAGGTTACTATTGTTCATTCATTAATCATCAATTCAAAGAGTTATTTCCTCTCTCTCTCTTTTCAATATATAAATATAATATATAGATATATTATATTTAATATATATTATAGATATATTATATTATATTTAATATATATTATATTAAATATATTATATTTAATATATCTAACATTTGGTATCAGAGCCAGTCAACCTTTCAACCCCGAGATATTGTTCGTAGTGAAATATGGCTGCAAATTTCAATATTGTATGGACGGGTCCCAAATTGGACGGGAAACTCGATTACAATTATTGGCAAATTATGATGTCCACACATTTGCAAGCTCAAAATCTTTGGAGCTTTGTTGATCCCGGTCTACCCGAAGGAGCTGATGCAGCCGCTATACGGCGAGATAAATTGGCCTTGGGTCAGATTCACCAAGGTGTTCATTATTCCATCTTTGGGCAATTAGCTCGTGCTCAAACAGCAAAACAAGCTTGGGACATCTTAAAGGTGTCACACAAAGGAGTCGATCGGGCACAGAAGTCTAAGTTGCAGTCGTTGAGAAGGTTGTACGATAATTGTGAGATGACCTCTACAGAAACAGTAGATGCGTATTTCACTCGTCTTATTGATATGGTGAATAAGATGAGGCTATATGGAGATACGATTGAAGATGGTGCAGTGGTTGAAAAAGTTCTTCGAACTATGCCGATGAAGTATGACCATGTGGTGGCTTCGATAACAGAGTCACACAAAACCGAGCTCTTATCAATTGCAGAGCTGAAAGGTATGGTAGAAAGTCATATTGACAGGATTGCGTCAAAATCGGAACCACTAGCAGAAGAAGCTTTGAAGAGCCAAGTCACCCTTAATGTGACTGGCACTAATCAAAGAGGTGGAGGATCTGGTAGAGGTCGTGGAAGAGGAAGAGGAAGTTCTGGTGGAAGAGGTCGTGGTAACTTCAACCAAGGAGGAGGACGTGGTAACTCCAACCAAGGAAGAGGTGGAGGTAATACCAAACAAGGTAAATTTCCATTTCATTGCTACAATTGTGGCAAGTATGGGCACAAGATTGCGGATTGTTGGTATAATGAGGACAACAATCGTGGAAATCAAGCAAACATTGCTGAAAATACTGCTGAAAAGTCTGGTGAGAGATCTGAAACTTTACTTTTAGCCAGCAATAGTTTTTCTGCAGATAAGAACATATGGTTCTTGGATACTGGGTGTAGTAACCGTATGTGTGGGATGAAAGAATTGTTTTCTGAACTGGATGAATCAGTCCGGTCTGAAGTAATGTTTGGCAATAAGTCAAAGGTGCCAATTTTGGGAAAAGGTAAAATCTCTATTCAGTTAAAGGATGGTACTTACAATTTTATATCCGATGTGTTCTATGTTCCTGAACTACACCAAAATTTGTTGAGTTTGGGTCAGTTGTCAGAAAAAGGATATAAGATACATATTGCTCAGGGGTGTTGTACCATTAAAGATGCTAAAGGAGTTTTGATTGCAAAGGTAAATATGTCCCAAAATCGACTATTTCCTTTGAAAATTAAGCATACTCTCCTTGATTGCTTTAATTCTGAAGTTTGTGATGATAATTGGTTATGGCATATGCGGTTTGGGCATTTTCATTTCTCTGGATTAAACTATCTTGCGAGAAAGGAACTTGTTTCTGATTTACCTGTTGTGAATGTCCCTGATCGTATATGTGAGATTTGTGTGATTGGGAAGAAGCATAGAGATCCCTTCCCTGTGGGCAAGTCAAGGAGAGCTACAAAACAGTTGGAGATTGTTCACTCAGACCTGTATTCGTTGGAGGTTACCTCACATGGAGGTTGTAAGTACTTTATTACTTTCATTGATGATTTCAGTAGGAAAATATAGGTTTACTTTCTGAAGCAAAAGTCTGAAGCATGTGATGTTTTCAAACAATTTAAGGCTTTTGTTGAAAAGCAGAGTGGTTATGAAATTAAAATCTTGAGAACTGATAGAGGTACAGAATATATTGCCTGTGATGATTTTCTGAAAGAAAAGGGTATTCAGCACCAAATGACAGCTAGATACACTCCACAACAAAACGGAGTGGCTGAGAGGAAGAATAGGTCTATCATGGATATGGTAAGGTGCATGTTGAAATCCAAGAATCTGCCTAAGCCTTTTTGGGCAGAAGCTGTTGCTTGTGCTATCTATGTGTTGAATAGGTGTCCAACTAAAAGTGTCCGTGATAAGACACCCGAAGAAGCATGGAGTGGGAGAAAACCCTCTATCAAATATCTCAAGGTTTTTGGATGTTTGGCATATGCACATGTGCCAGATCCATTGAGAAAGAAGTTGGATGATAAAGGTGAAAAGTGCATATTCATTGGTTATAGTGACGCTTCAAAGGCTTATAAACTATACAATCCTGAAACTAAAAAGGTTGTTATAAGTCGTGATGTCACTTTTGATGAATATGGTGCTTGGGATTGGTTAGCTAAAGATGAAAGTTCAGTTGTTATTCCTGCTGTTGAAAATATTGTTGAAGAGCAACCGATTCCAGATAATGTCCAGTCTCCTTCACAGCCAGAGTCGTCAGTTCAACGATCTCAGCGCGAGCGCCACTTACCAGCTCGCTTGCAAGATTATATTTTGGGTCATGATAATGACTTGTCTGATGAAGAGATTATTCAATTTGCTCTCTTTGCAGATAGTGATCCTTTAACTTTTGAGGAGGCTGCTACGGAAACTCATTGGCTTAAGGCGATGGATGAAGAGATACGTGTCATTGAAAAGAATGGTACTCGGGAATTAACAGAATTACCTCCTGAAAAGAAGCCAATTGGAGTAAAGTGGGTTTATAGAACGAAATACAAGTCAGTATATCCAACTTGAAGACGAAGACATTTTTCTTAAATTGAAGAAGGAGATATTGGGATGACCAATATATCCAACTTGGTTTAAAGGAGGCAATGTTATAATAATAATAATATTATTATTATTATTATTAGTAATGGTTAAACCAAGTATTAAATTAGTTTGTTATGAATAATGCATGGATGCAGTAGGTGGGTTATGCATGGTATCACTACATAGATTGTGGCCTTAATTGTAGCTTTACATGGAGCATTACTCCTAATCTTTAGCTTTCTTAGTGATTATCTTTTAGTATAAATAGGTTACTATTGTTCATTCATTAATCATCAATTCAAAGAGTTATTTTCTCTCTCTCTCTTTTCAATATATAAATATAATATATAGATATATTATATTATATTTAATATATATTATATTAAATATATTATATTTAATATATCTAACATATATATATATATATATATATATATATATATATATATATATATATATATATATATATATATATATATATACACACACACACACACACACAAACACACACACATATATAATTCAGTTCCCATGCGGTTGAGTGTCTCCCGTGCAGTTGTGCGGTCAATCACAAATCTGATTCATCTGGCTTAAGTCAACGTCAGGATTATCAAAATTAAAAAAAAAAATGTTGTGGCAATTTGGTAATTTTTGCATCTAGGTCAAATTTAAGGTGCATGGTTTTCCTTCTTAAGGTGTGTGGATTTTGTGCTTAAAGTGCGTGGGTTGTGTGCTTAATGTGAGTTGTTGTTGAAACTTAAGGTGCGTGGTTTTTGTGCTTAAGGTGTGTGGTTTTTGTACTTAAGGTGCGCGAGTTTTGTGCTTAAGGTGTGTTGGTTTTGTGCTTAATGTGAGTAGTTATTGAAACTTAAGGTGCGTGATTTGTATGCTTAAGGTGCGTCAGTTGTTTGAAACTTATGGTGAGCCATTTTAAAACCTTAGGTGTGTGGTTTGTGTTCTTAAGTTGTTTTGTTGTGTGCTTAAAGTACGTGGTTTGTGTACTTAAGGTGCGCTATTTTAATGCTTAATTAAGGTGCGTCAACCGCAAAACCCTACGGGAAGCTATACCCACACATGAACCCTTCTCTATATATATAGCCGAGCGGCTCGCGAGCAACTCGATCAACTTCAAGCTTGAACCGAACTCGAGCCGGCTTGTTTCATAACCGAGCCAAGCTCGAGCTCGAGCTTACCTATTGTTTATGGAGTTCGAGTTTGACTCGGCTCGTTTACACCCCTAGTCATGCATAGTGTGTGTTTGCATGTATTTAGTGAGAAAAAAATTGTTTTCCCGAAATAGCATCCTTCATTATCAATTGTAATTATAGTTCATTTACAATTGTTATGCCATGGACCCGGTCCAAAACGACGCAGTTTGCGCGTGCGAAAATAACGGTGTTGTTGGTGGCACCGTTTTCTCAGTCAATGATTTTTTTTTTAATTATTGAAAACAAC